TTCCTAGTCTGGAAGCTTCTAGGACTAGCTGGTGAGGCCCAATTCCATGAAATCGATGGTGGGAAAGAAGATGACAAATTGGGAAGGCGAATCGCCTCAGGTGTGGCGTAGAGAGCAAGTGACATCTAAGGACGAGTAACAGTGTCTTTGTAGCGTCCCGTATCGGACGTCTCAGCGTCCGACGACCATTGACGCACGTTCGCGCCTCCTCCCGGCCGAACCTCTATATTTTTCGCGATTTAACATAGAATTACCTTTACGAGGCTTATTTCTATAATCGCTTTCTTATTACCCAGCGGAAGTCTTTCTACCCTTGGTCTAATTCCAAATATCGCGGCCGCCTTTATGAATCAAACATTGCAGCCTTGGTGGATCCGATTGGAAATCGATTTGACCGAGTAAATGATTGATCTAAAGTCTAAGGGACAAAGACGATCAAACCGGTACAAGGGATGGTTGGAATTAGACCAAGGGTAGAAAGACTTCCGCTGGGTAATAAGAAAGCGATTATAGAAATAAGCCTTGTAAAGGTAATTCTATTTTAAATCGCGAAAAATATAGAGGTTCGGCCAGGAGGAGGCGCGAACGTGCGTCAATGGTCGCTGGACGCCGAGACGTCCGGGACGGGACGCTATAAGTTGGAGTAAATGATTGATCTAAAGTCTAATGGACAAAGACGATCAAACCGGTAAAAGGGATGGTTGGAATTAGACCAAGGGTAGAAAGACTTTCGCTGGGTAATAAGAAAGTGATTATAGAAATAAGCCTCGTAAAGGTAAATCTATGTTTAATCGCGAAAAATATAGAGGTTCGGCCGGGAGAAGGCGCGAACGTGCGTCAATGGTCGCCGGACGCCGAGACGGGACGCTACACAACCCCACTGGTCTAAGTCCCTATGATAGAGATTGGGGATCGTACATTTCCCTTGGTTCACGGTGGCCGAATCAAGCTCTCGGCTCATTGGTCCATCCGTCCTCCAAACATACGCCCCTTCGGTTTCATGGTGGAAGATCAAGCCCTCGGCTTATCAAACCATCCATGTTTCCGATCCGGTCGTTTACCACTACGACCGCCTACGGTTTATTAACAGTTTACCCATCCGGTCCATGGTGGTCAGTAAAGCCTTCGGCTTATCGATCCATCCATGCCATCCCAACAATATCATTATCACACCCAAAAGTCCGTGGATTCATCCATCCGATTATCGTAGGCTAGCCCATAAAATCATTCGTCCGTCAACCATTGGTTTGCTCGCGGGTCCAACATCCGTTTTGTCCATCGGTTCTCACCGTGGACTTTCCCGTTGGTTATCCGTCGAGTAACCGTAGGTCTTACAGATTTCCGATCAGATCCACCAAGGCTGCGACATTTGATTCATAAAGGCGGCCGCGATATTTGTTCCTTACGTGGAGAATCACGCTCCTTACCCATTCTCGGTGCTTTCTCCCTTTATCGGTGAGATTGCATCTATGGACGACCCTTGGGTTTCATGGTGGAAGATCAAGCCCTCGACTTATCAAACCATCCATGTTTCCGATCCGGTCGTTTATCACTATGACCGCCTACGGTTTATTAACTGTTTACCCGCCCGGTCCATGGTGGTTGGTAAAGCCTTCGGCTTAACCGTGAACCAAGGGAAACGTACGATCCCCAATCTCTATCGTAGGGACTTAGACCAGTGGGGTTGGTTGTATGTATGGCTAAGTAACGATAGAGATTGATCCATCAATACATGATTGGTTAAGAATCGTTGTACGAATGGAATAAGGCAACAAAAGGGCTAAGGGAAGGATCAATGGACGGATCGAAGAGGAATCGCATCCGCATGTTGGCCAAGATATGTAAACGAATCTAACTTATTAGTTAATCTAGACGTTTGGGAATTGGCCGTTAGATTAAGGATATAGGAATATGCAATCGTTAGACTTAGAATGGTTAGCGAACAAATTGCATGACTTGACCGAGTAAATGATTGATCTAAAGTCTAAGGGACAAAGACGATCAAACCGGTACAAGGGATGGTTGGAATTAGACCAAGGGTAGAAAGACTTCCGCTGGGTAATAAGAAAGCGATTATAGAAATAAGCCTCGTAAAGGTAATTCTATGTTAAATCGCAAAAAATATAGAGGTTCGGCCGGGAGGAGGCGCGAACGTGCGTCAATGGTCGTCGGACGCCGAGACGTCCGGGACGGGACGCTACAGGTTGGTTGGATGTATGGCTTAGTAACGATAGAGATTAGTAAGTCAATACATGATTGGTTAAGAATCGTTGTACGAATGGAATAAGGCAACAAAAGGGCTAAGGGAAGGATCAATGGACGGATCGAAGAGGAATCGCATCCGCATGTTGGCCAAGGTATGTAAACGAATCTAACTTATTAGGTAATCTAGACAATTGGGAATTGGCCGTTGGATTAAGGATATAGGAATATGCAATCGTTAGACTTAGAATGGTTAGCGAACAAATTGCATGACTTGATCGAGTAAATGATTGATCTAAAGTCTAAGGGACAAAGACGATCAAACCGGTACAAGGGATGGTTGGAATTAGACCAAGGGTAGAAAGACTTTCGCTGGGTAATAAGAAAGCGATTATAGAAATAAGCCTCGTAAAGGTAATTCTATGTTAAATCGCGAAAAATATAGAGGTTCGGCCGGGAGGAGGCGCGAACGTGCGTCAATGGTCGCCGGACGCCTAGACGTCCAGGACGGGACGCTACAGGTTGGTTGGATGTATGGCTTAGTAACGATAGAGATTGGTCCGTCAATACATGATTGGTTAAGAATCATTGTACGAATGGAATAAGGCAACAAAAGGGCTAAGGGAAGGATCAATGGACGGATCGAAGAGGAATCGCATCCGCATGTTGGCCAACGTATGTAAACGAATCTAACTTATTAGTTAATCTAGACGTTTGGGAATTGGCCGTTAGATTAAGGATATAGGAATATGCAATCGTTAGACTTAGAATGGTTAGCGAACAAATTGCATGACTTAACCGAGTAAATGATTGATCTAAAGTCTAAGGGACAAAGACAATCAAACCGGTACAAGGGATGGTTGGAATTAGACCAAGGGTAGAAAGACTTCCGCTGGGTAATAAGAAAGCGATTATAGAAATAAGCCTCGTAAAGGTAATTCTATGTTAAATCGCGAAAAATATAGAGGTTCGGCCGGGAGGAGGCGCGAACGTGCGTCAATGGTCGCCGGACGCCGAGACGTCTGGGACGGGACGCTACAGTCTTCTCATTAGGTAGTTAGAACGACCTCATTTTGTGGCACGACGTGCCAACCTCAATTGCGAACATGGCATCCTAGTTAATATTTGTTAATGGAACAGTAACATCGTTTGTCGATTTGATGGTTTTGACTAGGGCTGCGACTTTGGGTTAACCGAACCGAACCGAGTCAGTTAGTTTGGTTTTCGGTTATTTCAGAATTTTGAAAATTCTACCAAAATTAACCGAAATTAATTACGGTTCGGATATCGGTTAATTTGGTTATTTATGATTTAACCGAAAGTAACTGAAATCGCTGGCACACCCAACGTCAATCGATGGTCCTCAAACCGTCGACGTCCCCCAACCGTCGCCTTTCACCTACCGCCACCGTCTCAGAAACTTCCCACAGTTTCGGATTTGATAATCCAACAAGGACGACGACTAAAAAGAAGAAGAACTAAAGAAGAAGATTTTGTTCTGAAGAACGGAAGAAGAAAACTCGACGACTGGTGGAAAATTGAGAAGAAGGGTTAGGGTTTCTTTGATTAGTGGGCTTTCAATTTAGTTAGCCCAAAACACAAAACAATTGTTTTGTTATTTGACACTGGACAAATATAAGTTGGACCAAGCCCATACGCAAAATATTTTAATTATGAGGAAAACTCACTTTCTTCATTTAAACGCAAAGCTTTATGAAAACTTCATCTTCAACCTGTGAAACCCTAGTTTAACATAGAAACCTACATCCACCATAGCCAAACATATCTCAAAACCTTAAAACGAAATATAACCGGAAACCCGATTGGTTCGACAGTGCCGAACTGAACCAAACTGATAACCGTTCTCTATTTTCAAAGATGTCAATCAGTTCATCACAACTAACCGAACCCGAACCGAAAACCGAAATACTCGGTTCGACTCGGTTCAGTTTCCTCGATTTGGGTAAAAGTCGCAGGCCTAGTTTTGACCAGAATTACATTGTTCTTATAGAAAATTCAAATTTTAGTTAAGTTTATGTAGTTGTAGGCACAACTCAAAGTGTAGAAATAGCTTTCGAACTATGGATTCGGGAGGTTATAGGTTGAAAACTATTTTTCGGGGATATCTAGCACGTGATCATAGATTGGGCTGTATCTATCGTGATGTGATACTTTTCGTAGAGAAATAGACCGTTTTTCCATTATAAAGCAACTAAGTTCGTGGAGGAATAGACTGTTTTCTTATTTTCTCTTAGTCATTTCTTTTTGAATTACTCAATATTAATTAATTATATAATAATTTATAATAGTATTCTCATTTTTTATATTTCTTTCTCAAAAATGAAAGAGGCTAGAAAATATATTTTAAAATTTTCATTATAAAATATATTTTAATTAAATAAAGAGATTTTTTGGTGCAACAATTAAATAAAGAGACATATTAAAGATATTGTAATTAATTCTAAAGCCTTGTTTGGCTATATAGATTTGATCCCAAAAAAAAAAAAAAAAACCGATCCTTTGCAGGAACTACCCGTAATAACAAACTTGCAAAATGGAACACATAGATTATGTTTAGTTACAAGGATAATTCTTAATTTATTAAGACAGCTAATTAGTAGATTCTTAAAATTGGAATACCTTATGTAGCCATTCTCCTAATTTCTTCTTTCTTTTACACATGCCAAATTGTTATTTTCTACACCAAAGAAAGAAACAAATTAATATTTTCTTTTAGTCAACAAAAAATCAATCCTTTTCTTAATTAATCTTTTTAATCCTTTTATTAATTAATCTAACCGGTGTCTCTTTTTTTATCGGTCCCAAGATATAAAACACTCTTTCGTACTAATGAATTAACTAAGCAGTCAAAAAAAAAAAATCAAGGGAACGAGTTGTGAAATTAGAGAAAAAAAAACAAAACTCAGAGCAGTGACAAACTTCGATTCAAGAATTGTGAAGCGCCGCCGATTTTCGTAGAAGATAATCTAATTCCAAAATTCTCTTTTGGGATCGCTTTGCTACTTCTGATTCCATTTTTCCTCGGCAAAAAATCTGGAATCTGTATCGTCACAACCAAAAATTCTCTTCCTTTCCCGTTTCGTTTCGCTTCTCCGGTATCGTCCATATGTAAGATTCAGTCTCCTTGCTTCTGTATTTGTTATTTGTGAATACTCCGATCTTTGGTTACTACCCACTTGGAGTTTTAACATTCGACACTTTATTGAAGAATACTTTGGGAAATCTGGTGAATTTGAATTTTTTTTTTAGTGATATATGTTGAATTGTTTTAGAATTACGACCAATGTCCCTGGCTGATACATTTAGGTTTAGTTAGTTTTTGAAGACATAACTGATGGCTTCTTGTCCAAATTGCTTGATATTTAGAAGAGTTATACATTTCTGGTAATTTAATTATTAGGGTTTCCTTTTTATTTCAATGGATTCCGCAATGCAGCATTTTTATGAGTCAAGAATAAATGTCTTGATCATAAGTAGTGTTATTCTGTCACGTTTAGGAATCTTGAGTTGGATCATTTTGCATTTTTGGATCAGATTTATACATTGATTGGTAACTTGTGGCTTTATTTTGGATTGTTTCTGCCTTCAGTTCTCTCATCATTATAACCTTATCCTTTCGGTTTATAGATTTTCTTTAGTCTAATTAATTAACTTCCAAATGTATTTGCAGTGCGGATTTGTCGTTGGTGCTTAATTCCCGTTGTATACAACTGTCTGAAGTTTATCTCAAAGAATCGGTATCCAATCCATCTCTCGGGCAACATTATTGAGAAGTCGATTCAGTTTTCCCGAGCTGGTATTAGAGTCTGGTCCCTGCTCCTCCATTCGTGGCATTTTGTAGAGGAGGGTATAAATTAGGAGACTTCAAATGGAATGTAATAAAGAAGACGCTATAAGAGCTAGAGAGATTGCAAAGAGGAAGTTTTTAGCAAATGATTTTGCGGGGGCCAGGAAATTTGCCTTGAAGGCTCAGTTCCTGTATCCTGAACTCGATGGAATTGCCCAAATGGTGGCCACATTTGATGTTCATTTATCTGCTCAGAATATAATATATGGGGAGATAGACTTCTATGGTGTGCTTGGTCTGAACCCTGAGGCTGATCACGAAACTGTGAGGAAGCGTTACAGAAAGTTGGCTGTAATGCTTCATCCTGACAGGAACAAGTCTGTCGGAGCAGAGGAAGCCTTTAAGTTTCTTTCGCAGGCATGGGGTGTGTTCTCTGACAAGGCAAAGAGAGCTGACTATGACCTGAAGAGGAATGTGGGATTGTATAAGGGAGGAGGGGCATCATCATCAAGGCCTGCAACCAATGGATTTCAGAAAGTTACTAAAGCTAGCGCTAACACAACCAAAGTAAAGAGTTCAAAGAGAGGTATAAAACGGGCAAGTGACGCCTCTGCTGCCGCTACTCCTACTTCGGCCCAGAAAACAACTGCTGATGGGACCTTTTGGACTGTATGCCGTACTTGCAGAACACAGTATGAATATCATCGTGTTTATCTAAATCAAAACCTCTTGTGTCCCAACTGTCGTAAGCCATTTATAGCGGTGGAAACAGATCCTCCAGGTTCAGGTTCGATTCGCAAGACCTTTCACGAGCACCAATTCGACTCTCTCCGCAATACAACGGACGGAAGAAAGAAAAATGTATCTGGAAGAGACAATAATGGGGTGTATGGTGAATGTGATTCCTTTGATTGGGGGTTGTTCACTGGAACCAAAAATTCTGCTCATGCTACACAGACTGGGTCACGAAAAGATGAGGTTGTGCGTAGAGAGTATACCAAAAGGGTGGCTGGTGTTTCATCAACAATTCCTCCAAAAAGAAGAAAGGTTACGGAAAATGCAGTTGCTGGTGCCAACATTGCAAGTTGTTTTGCTCCCAAGTCCACCGGTGTAAAAGAAATTTCTGAGGATGAGCTGAAGAATTTATTGAAGAAGAAAGCTAAATCAGTAATCAGCAGAAACCTGCCAGCATTATGCACCATCGTCGCTGAAACTGAAACTGACGCAAACGAAAGGGGAATGGAGACTGAGGATCTCAATGGTTTCAATGCAGGTTCTTCAGTAAACAAAAATGCCATTGAATCATGCTGCATGGACTCCGTTGAGGATACTTCTGCTACTGACAAGGATTTGAATTCCCTGGGAGCCTTGACATTAGATGTTACTGCTCCAGATTTTTGTGACTTTGAGAAGGATCGAACTGAAAAGTCAATTAGGGATGACCAGATATGGGCGTTTTACGATTCTCTTGAAGGGATGCCTCGATCATATGCCTTGATACATAATGTTATCTCCGTAGATCCATTCAAGGTGCGAATGAGTTGGCTTACTCCAGTAACAAACGGTGAGCTTAGCTCAACAAATTGGCTTGGTTTTGGTATACCTAAAAGTTGTGGAGGTTTTAGAGTTTGGAAAACCCAAATATGCAGGTCACCTTACAGTTTCTCACACAAAGTAAACCTGGTCAAAGGCAGTCATGGGGAATTTCTTATATATCCTAGAAGAGGCGATGTATGGGCTCTGTATCGGAAATGGTCCCCTGACTGGAACTATCTTACAGGAGTCGAAACAGTTGAGTACGATATAGTTGAAGTAGTTGAAGGATATACAGAGGAATATGGTGTGTCAGTGGTTCCTCTGGTTAAAGTTGCTGGTTTCAAAGCCGTGTTTCACCATCATTTGGATCCCAAAGAAACTAGAAGGATCCTTAGGGATGAAATTTCAAGATTCTCTCACAAGATACCGTCTTACTTGCTCACAGGTCAAGAAGCACCAGGTGCACCCAGAGGTTGCAGACAGCTTGACCCGGCAGCAACACCGTCTCAGCTTCTTCAGGCTATCGATGATTATCGGTAAGGTGTAAAAGATTCAAACTTTTTGTATCTTAGTAATGTAATGTAATATGCTTAAACATGAACTGAATCTTTTATTCTAATTTATGGGTAACATAGAATCTAGAAGAACCCACAATGCGAGTTTTCATTGTGTTTTATAACTAGAAAGAGGAGCTTTAACGAATCTGAATATCTTCATTAAATGACACCTTTTGGATCAAAACCACGTTAACAGAAACGGGAAAAAAAATTTATTGAGCCCCCAACGTTCCAATGTTTCGAACCGCTTGAGCAGCAATAATCTCAGCGATACATTGGGGACAAGGGAGAATCTTGGAGACGGTAATTGATGAGCAGAAAGAGATGCACCAGAGTGAATTCATGGTCAAATATATTTGAAAAGGATTTGACTGACGGTAAGAGGAGCTGCTTAAATACCAGCCTCCATTGTCAGCAAATCAAAGCAGAGAAACAAGAGATATGAAATCGTCAAAAGAAGATGATGAGGTACAAAGAGACAATCGACTGTTGATGTTATTTATTATAATGGGTTTCTGTAAAAATATCTTCCAAACAACATTTTTTTTGCAAGTGTATCATTAATAGTCACATTCGAATGCCCATTTACCCAAACCCAAACTCAAGTCACAGCCCTAGCCCAGCTCGGGGCAACACTGGCACAGCTTCTTCAGGCTATCAATGATATTAGTAAGATGTACAATATTCGAACTTTTTTTTATCTTGGTAATGTTGTTTGTCTAAACCTGCACTGGATGTTATTTTCTCTAATTTATGAGTAACATGAAAAGAAGAAGACTTTATAATGTGAGCAGAGTTTTCATTATGTTTTTACTAAAACAACAAACTTTACGAATCTAAATAGTTTCATTACATGTCCTGCAGCAAAAACAATTTCAATTGCAATACATTAGAACACAAAGCATAGACTATTCAGATTTCAGACTCCATTATACAAGTATATTGACTCTCCTCGATAATAATTCGACGGCAGAGAGGGCAAGAATTACACCTCATTAACCATTCGAAGATACATACTATATGAAATAGATGCGAACAATTTGGCAACTTTATTATTCTCTTATCATCTTTGTCGCCATAGTTCAAAAAATCCTCCAAACATATCGAACATGTTGATTCGTCCTCTTCTTCTTGAGTTTCTTCTTTGGGAAGACAAGAAACAGGAATCACTGAGAACACTTCTTGCGTAAAAACTACGTTAACGGACATGAACAACGGTTGTAAAATCCCAACGCTTAGACTCGCTCGAGCAGCGATTACCTCAGCGATATATTCGGACAAGGAAGGATCATGGAGACGGGAATTGAGAAGCGGAAAGATATGAAACGTAGTGAACTCGTAGTTTAAGAGATTCAAAAGAATTTGAGAGATAGGGAGAGAAGGTGCTGGATAAAATCCAGTAAAGGTGACGCTTCCATCGGATTTGTCAATCACAAACCTCTCGAATTGTTGACAGAGATTGATGCAAACAATGTTGAGGCTCAGGGGTAAAGATGAGGTTTGAGTTTGACTGTACGTCTTCGTAGTGATATCGATTTTCAAATCTCCAGTCTCCATTATCAACAAACTTAAGTAGACACAATAAGAGATGAAATCGTTAGTTGTTGAGATGTGAAGAAAGAAGGAGAAAGAAGTGTCTGTTGATGTTATTATATAAGTTTTTTTTTATGTTAAGTTTCCTTTTTTTTTTGTTAGGGTTTCATCTACTTATTTCGTTTTTCATAAACTCATGTCAACGTTTATCTATTGTTATTTCCTTTTTTGTTTGTTTGTCAGAACTCTGTTTTTGTTGTTGTTTATTTACCTTTTCGGCTTTTCCTATTCGAACCAGTATATTTAGATTATTGTATAGAGACTGAATTAGTGAACCGTAATTGATATTTTTTACCCGGCTTGTTATGGTTTATGATGTTCGCACTACCGAAAAAGAGTTGATTACTCCTTTTGAAAACTACCAAATTGATATATATATTTTGTTGGATCAAATTTGAATAGGCAAAGAAGCAACAAGAGTCTTACTAAGAGCTTTGTGGACAAACAAGATTCTTTCTTGATGATTCTTCAGTTTTGACCTCATTGGCCATTTATATTTTGAAAGCTGAATTATATTCCTCTTTACTTTTCTGTTGACAGATATCTTTCTAGCGGGTACAACAAAGTTTTCACCTTAAGCTGCTTGATGATTCGCGTCACGAGACACTTAAGTATTACATATGCAGTGCATCATACATAGGCACATTCGTTATCTTGTTCACTCATAAGAAGTTTCTCTTCCTGCTCCACCCTTTGCAGCCATTGCAGCCCCAGATCGCACCCTGCTCTAGCAGCGATTTGGAACTGTTCTTTTGCCATCTCTAATGGATTCATCCCCGGATTTTCCAGGTTCTTTTTTGATCTCTTGGGCGGTGAAACTCCCACGGCGTTTAATTTTGTAAGAGATTCTGGGACTTGCACGCCTGAAAAGTTGATAGCTTAAGCAAGTTAACCTCGAAAGCAAGAAATGACATGATATTGTTGTCTTCCTATGATCTAAGAGTGCAAGGAGTGGCCACAACAAATCAACTCTGGGCAATCGTGAGGATCTGATGTAAAAGAAGTAAGAGTTGTCTGTGCTGAAAGTGGATTACTAACCTCTAAGTAAAAGAGATCCATACGCTATAGCAGCACCGGCATGTCCCTGAACATATGTGAGTCAGTCTATGGAAGCTACAGGAAGATGTCTAACGCTTTTCACACATGCTCTTTGAAATTTACAAAACGTTTGACATCAGACAATGCTTGTTTCGTCAAATTCACAAGTACAAGACATGATCAATACAGCCCAGAATATATATACGTATGAGGAAGTGATGAAACAGAAACAGAAGCTAACTCTTTTGAAGCACTGCTAAAGTGGTACTAATCTACATACAAAATCAGAAAAAAAAAAAAAAAAAAAATTCGCTGAGACATAAAGTGTTTTACCTTCTCTGAAGCCCTATGGAAACACCATATAGCTGAATCCACATCTTGCTTCACACAGTCTCCCGTCAGATACACTATTCCTAAAAGATAGAGGGCACCTGGATGCAGCTGCAGGTTACCAATTCCAGGTGAGATTCGCTCAAATTGCTGAATATTACATTCATACAATTGTCTGGGTTGGGAAATATATTCATACCTGATCAACAGCATTCTCTATATAGTGAAACGCCTGTTGATCCGACTGGACATGATCGTTCTGAAAGAAAGATTACAATTAGTATGAAATGTTGGGGCGGTTTACGGATGAGTGGGAAACAAATATTAACTAAGTAAACTTTCGAATCTGAGAATATAATGCTGCTCAAGAAGCAGACAATTCTCAATTAAGAGTAGCCCACTAAAGCACTAATGGAACTGACAAAGATAAAGATGAAGCTCTAACGTATCTACCTATGAGGTTCTCAATTTCGAAGCAGTCGGGCAAAACTGATATTATAAACATTATTAAGGGATGGTTACGAGCGAAAAATTATAAGGAAGCCTGACCTCGACTCTTAAACGACACCCTAGCTCATATTGAGCATCTGCATTACCCATGTCTGCAGCTTCAACAAGCAAAGCAGCTCCACTGTGATAATCGAAGACAATAACATGGATAAGATGACAACAACAAAATCCTTGCACACATGACAAAATTCTTCTGAAAACTACATGAAAACCTTCCAGGGTATGAAAAGCCGTGGCACATTCAGCGATATTAAACCTCAATGACTTAGCTTTTCAGAAGACACCTGAGTTTACTCGATATACAACTTCAAGTACAGTATCAACATATTATTAATATAACTACTGTATTGTATCATCAACCCATAGATTGCAGTTTGACAGAGAATCAGAGAGTAACTATCTGACAATTGATTTACTTACACAGCTTTACACGCTCCAGGAACATGGTACTTCAAGTGCAACTTGGAAAGCCAATATCTAGCATGAGTGTTCAAATTATCAGCTTCCAGAGCAAGTTCAAAGTTCTCTTTAGCTCCCTATAACCAAAAAAAAAAAAAAAAAATCCTATTTGGAAATATAACCAAAAAAACTACATTCAAACAATTTGACTATCCTACAAAAACTTATCAATGGCATGTTTGTACAACAATTAGAACACAAGATTGCATTTGGAACTTATGGCACACATAGAAAGAGTTAAGAATACCCTGAGGAGAGGAATTAGACGACGATCATTGAGTTCACAGTAATCAATAACTCTGTCTACTTCCTTAATCGCGCTCCATCCTTTGGCTACATACTCCATTGCCTTCTTGTTCCTACTGTGTAATCCTCTCTGATTCAAACCATAAACACCACAAACGTAAATCACTGAACCGATAACCAAACTCATTTCCAATCGAAATCCATACAACGAAAATGGCATACTCGCTGATCGAATCCATGAAGACGGTCACGAGCAATCTTCGATTCCGCGGCAACGGCGGCTGCTTGCCGGAGAATCAGACGACGAAACATGATTTAGCCGGAGAAGAAACCTAACCGGAGAGAATTTTTGAAATATAACTCGGCCGAATTTAACAAAGCTAAATTTACTTAAGCCCATTTGAGCCCATTATCGGAAATTACAACTTTACCCTCGAGCGTCGATGCTAATTTTCTCGCTCGGATTATCGTTCAGGTTCGTCGCCGTTAAACCAAACACCAACAGACGTTCAGACCAAACTGGGATTCTATTATCACTTTGGTCTCTGCTCTTCTGATGTATACGAAGATATCATTGTTACACAGAAAGAGTTCTTCATTCTCCATAGCCAACGAGAAAAGAATCCATCAGTTTCTGAAGAATCTCTGCACGGCTGTTGAAAGGTTAGATTTTGGAAACTCTAATGATTCGTCACAAATGAACCCTGGAGAAGGGTTCGATGGAGGAAGCCAGAACCGAACTGGGATCTCTGGGGAAGTTAGTGAAAGTATTCACACACAAAGTCAGAGTTGGGGTTCGAATCAGGGAAGAAATGAGGAGTCATGGAAGCAGAGTCCTAGTATGTCTAATTCTCAGGTCCAATCTCAATATCAAGGCCATTGGTATGGGACAAACCCTGATTATAATTGGCATTCAGGTACGACTGTTGATAGCGAGGTATATGATATGATTGGGGAATTCGATGAATATTGCATACAAGAGAATGTAAGAGTGGCCTTAACTACTATGGAAAAATTGGAGAAGAAGGGTTATGTTATGGATTTAGCTAGACTTTTAAGGTTAACACAGCTATGTATGGAAGAAAATGTTTTTTACGAAGTCAGTGTTTTAGAAGAAGCCAAGGTTTCTGTTCTTGGGAAGATCAGAGCTTTGGTTAACAACAATTTAGATGCGAATTATTTGATGTATTATACTGACATCATGATTAAGGAATTTGACGAATTTTGCAAGCAAGGTAAGGTGAAAAAGGCATTGTATACTATAGATACATTGGAAAGCATGAATCATGTTGTTATTTTGAGTAGACTTTTACGGTTAGCGAAGCTGTGTGGGGAAGCAGAGGGTTTACAAGAGGCCAAGGTTGTTCATGGGAAGATTAGTTCTTCCGTTAGCCATTTAGATGTGAGTTCTAACCATGTATTGTTAGAAATGTACTCCAACTGTGGGTTGGCGAATGAAGCAGCGAATGTTTTTGAGAAAATGTCTGAGAAGAATTTAGAGACTTGGTACATTATAATAAGATGTTTTGCAAAGAATGGTTTTGGGGAAGACGCTATTGATATGTTTGCTCGCTTTAAAAAAGAAGGAAACAGACCCGATGCTCAACTATTTAGAGGAATTTTCTATGCTTGTGGTATGCTAGGTGATGTTGATGAGGGACTATTGCACTTTGAGTCAATGTCCAGAGACTACGGCATTGTCCCTTCCATTGAAGACTATGTAAGCCTCGTTGAGATGTATTCGTTACCCGGATTTTTAGATGAGGCTTTGGAATTTGTGGAGAGAATGCCGATGGAGCCAAATGTTGATGTGTGGGAAACATTGATGAATCTTTCTCGAGTGCATGGGAATTTAGAACTTGGAGACAGATGTGCTGAAGTTGTTGAATTGTTAGATCCTACACGGTTGAACAAACAATCTCGGGAAGGATTTCTACCTGTCAAGGCATCAGATATTGAGAAAGAGATTCTAAAGAAAAGGTCAGGAATTCTTCACGGAGTCAAAAGTACGATGCTGAACTTTAAGGCAGGGGATACCAATCTTCCTGAGAATGATGAACTGTTCCAGCTATTGAGGAATCTAAAGATGCATATGGTGGAAATGGGCTATGTCGCTGATACAAAACCTGCTTTGCATGATATAGACCAAGAGAGTAAAGAGACAGCACTTCTTGGTCATAGCGAGAGAATAGCTTTTGCTCGTGCTGTTCTTAACACCCCGCCCCGTAAACCTTTCACTGTGATGAAAAACCTTCGTGTGTGTGTTGATTGTCATAACGCATGGAAGATAATGGCAGTTATAGTTGGTAGAGAAGTGATCATGCGAGATATAAAGAGATTCCACCATATGAAAAACGGGGCTTGCAGCTGTAATGACTATTGGTGATTAACAACAAACCTTGAGGTGTGTTCTATAGTAGTGTCTACGTTGAAAATGTTTTGTCTCTTCTTTTCTCATAAATCATCATTTTTGTTTTATGAAACAGATTTATCTTGTCTCTCCAGATCCGATTCTCAGAAATACGTCCTCATAATGTCTGAATTGGGAACTTTGGCAGGATGGAAAAACATAAAGCAAAGAGTCACAGAGACAAATTTGTATCATAAGCAGCAACTTTTCCACCACGTCTTTTTTTTTCAGGCATTTATATCGTGGGGCTGCCATATTGTTGTCATAGATCAATCTCATTCTCTTGTCCATTTTATGCAGTTTTTGTTTGTATCCAGGTTGTGATAAACTATACCCTAAATGCTATTGTTTTTCTGAGTAATGTTATCAAATGTGAGAAGGATAGGAATAGGATGATGTTAGTTGTCACGTTTGGACACAGTCCAACTAAGGTATTACCTTGTTCTTCTGATGCACATGTAAAGTGTTTTAGGCCTGGGTATATAAACACTTAAAAGAAGTAGTGGGTCAACTACAAAAAGACTTTTGAGTTGTATAATGTCATTAATGTTATAAAAGTCGTAAAAAAGAAAATCATAAAATCAGCAAAAAAAATGCTCAAATGTTATAAACACTAGATTATATATCTATCCGCGCGTTGCGCGGGATTTTAATTTAATTTTTTTATTAATGCGTATTTTTATTATAAATATAATCATTCGACTTTGAAGAGATTTTATTTTAATCATTTGCATTCTTAGTCCAAAACTTAGAAAATAATTACGTTGTTCACTACATTTCTCTTGTTATCTTGGATGATTCACTCGTCGTCTCTCGACATCTACTTTTTTTCACTATCTAATGAATCACATGTAATATTCTCGACTACAAATTGGTTCCCAAAACAGATCATATCTATTTCCTCTTTACTATATTTCAATATTCAATTTTTTAATAAGTTGCATGGTCTTCCTCATTTAAGTGAAAGTTAAAATATATTGGACAAATATTTGTCATGAAGTTTCTTTAACCATGTTTTGGTGCATGTGAAATTGTTTTATAGAGAACAAATCTCGTATATGAACTCATTTCTAACCACGTACATCAGATTTCAACGTCAAATCTTGTACTTTTATCTTAATCGTTTGAAAATATAAAATTCTCTTTTCACATATATATGTTGACATATATTATGATTTTAGATAATATTCTTAAATTTGATTTTTCTAAAATGTGTAACTTACAAACGCATAAAAAATTATTCTAATTTTAAAATATTTTTTTTCCAAAAACAAAATCATCTTTATTTCTAATTAAAAACTCTTCGATCTACCATTACTATCACTACTCTAACTTCCAAATATCATTCTCAAATATTATTCTTACAGTTTTATTATTGATTAGATTATTTTATTTTTATTTGTGATGTCTAAATAGTTTTTTTGTTTTATTTTAAATCACCTTAGTTTTTTCAATCTATGTTAATTTCCTAAACACTGATTAATATTTAGTTTTTCCTTTTTATCTATTCATTTGTTTAAAAACTACCATTGTTTCAATTTAGAAAATGTTACTTGTTTATATTATATTATAATTATAAATAATAATAGCACATACACAATTCTTCTTATATTTTAGTCGGTATTATGAATTGATACTTTAACATTACCAAATATATTCTTAAATTTTAATTAAATATTATTTCGGAAATGAAGTAATTTTTATTTTAATTAAGAACCTTTAAATTTGGTAATTTTTAACTCTTATTTTCTTTACTATACTAAATAATTGTAACTCTCAAAAATAATTATTGTACCGTTAAGATATAGAGAAATGGTCTCCAATAGCCCTAAATGAAGTTTTTGTGACAAAAATAGCATCTCCTAGTTTATTTGACAAAAATAGCACTCATTTATTTTTAATTTAATAAATTTAATAAACAAAAGGAAGGGAAAAAACATTTCACGATAACTGTCGTCACTCCACGATAAGGCGACGACGGAGACGATTTCAGGTGATAGTTGTCGGCGACGGAGAGAGCTGCCGGCGACGGAGAGATCTGCCGGCGACGGAGAAAGCTTCACCTATTTTCGAACTTCAAACTGGTCTAAATGGATCTCTTTCACCAATTTTTTTTTCTTCTTCTTCCCCAATCGTGTTGACAAAATTAGGCGTTTATTGTTGAATTATGGCTTTCTATTGTGGAATTAGACAAATTGTAGGTGCGTTCATTGATTCAGCACAAACAATTCTGATGTGTCATTGTTCATCTCTTACCTTTTTCATTGTTGGGCTTGATTGCATTAGAAATCTTAAGTAGATGAGACTTGTAATTGAAAATTATTGATAAGTAGATGCTTTACGAATTCTGAACAAAGAGAGAGTGGTTTTGGTATGTAGATGATTTACTGACACGATCCTCCCGAGGACTCGGCACTCTAAAGTTGAGCAAGGGATAAAGGTGGCTGCGAAGCCGTGAGGATGGATAGATGATCTCGAGTTAGAGACGACACACGACTCAAAGACGAGAGAATGGATCAATGGATATCACAGAAGTTTGCGGAAGAACTTCACGATACCGAAACTTAGATCCTTTGGATATACACACCAAAAGAGACTAAGGGTTTTGCTGGATATACGCACCAACAAGATGATCTTCTTAGAAAAGGTTTTTGATAAAAAGAAAGATAAGTTCTCATAAGAGATTACAAGAGAATATATAGAGGAGAAGGAGAGAAGAGAATGTAGAAAGACAAGTCTTGGAATAAGCTCCAAGGCTGCCTAGAAACTTGACAAAATATTAAAGATAGAATTTGAATAGAAAAGACCCTTTGGCTTCAAAGATGACCCTTGAACTCCTATTTTCGTCACTCCTCATGACCAGCAAATTAAGCACTTGGTTTGGGCTCTTCTTGGGCTTGTAATGGCCATAAAATGGGCTGGACTCCATATATATTCCATGGGGCTAACTTATGAATATTATTCCATGGGCTGGATCAACAAATGGGTGATTTGAATGTGAATCATTTGCCTCATTAAAAACCTTGTCAAGAAAACCCATTGGGACAAAACTTGACAAGGGAAAAAGAGTACAAATGAGACACATGCCCATTTAATGATCATTTATCAAAACCAGTGAGGTTAAGATAACATCTTTTCCATACTCTTTCTCCGGTACAAGCTCACTTTGTGGTTCAAAATGCTCCTCAGGTTCAAGCGGCTCCTCTGCTTCAAGCTCCTCCTCGGCTACAAGCTCTTTATCACGTTCCATGTCCTTTGTGCTTTCCATGATCATATCATCCTCTCCCTCTTGAAAAGGATTTGACCTCAAATTTGATTTGTCTGCGATGAAAGGAACTAAGTTAGAAACATTAAAACTGGAACTCACATTACACTTACCTTGCAGATCAAGTTGATAAGCATTGTCGCTTGTTCTTCTTCTTATGTTGAATGGACTATTGATCCTTGGCATCAGTTTGGACTTATTTTTAGCTGGAAATCGTTTCTTCTTCAAGTGTACCCATACTTGTTCTCCAACCTCAAAGATCATTCTGAAATAAGCAATAGGTTTCTTATCCTGTATCACAACATCTCCAATGCCAGTTCTCACAAAGAAATTAGACGAGAGAACTTCTAAGTCCGGTGGCTCCTCTTTTGTACCTGCAATGTTGTCAACAGCTTTGGCAAAGAGCAAGTGTGTTATCACAGTCATGGAATCACTATAACCAAGTAAACATGTCTCAGCTTTTATCAATGCATTATCCTTGAAATGTTCATGTTTTACTTGCGTTCTAAGACATGAGTTTGGTTCCAAATATTCTTTAAATAAATCTAACTCTTTCTCGATGTTTCCTAGATTTGATAAACTCATAATAACAGTTCTTGTAATATGAGAAACCAAGCGAGTGAAAGAGTTACTTACCTGAATAAGGTTCGCAGTGTGTTTGGTGCTTGGTATCATCACGATTAATGAAAGTGGTGTTGGATCCGGGGGTTCTTCTTGGATCAAGGCATTGTTGGTGACCAACTCCTCCTCACTAGAGGTATCTAAAAACTCTCCTGGTCGCCATTGATAGGTATGGAATGAAGCCAATGAAGAAAGATCCATTTTAGGCTCCTCGTGAAACATGTGAAGTAAAATGACCAAAATCTCGTGAGGTGTAGGACTTGAACGTCCTAGATAATCTCCTGGTCTCCAAATGTGTCTTTGAGAATCATCATGGATGGATGGTAGTCCTATAGGTTTATCCTCCGAGAACATGTCCTCATAATCCTGCAAAAGAGACATTATCTCACTCGGCAGCACCTGTGTAGGGTTAGTCAAGCTCATGAGAGCTTTCTTATAATTAAGCGATAATAATTGGTGTTTTGATAACACAGCTTTCTTAACCTTACTAGCCCTCACAAACAAATTTGATTGCTTGCCTATGCGTTCTTCTGTGTACTTTGGCCGAAATTGATCTTGACAATCTTCACGAAGATCTCTTGATTGATTCCAATGATGAGTGCTTATCTCTCGATCATTAGTCTTCTTGGTTGGCCTCAAAATTGTGCAATCTGAACCAAGGGAAAGCAAATTAGCTTTCATTCGTTTTTGGGAGTTTAGATAGTTACCTCGGGTTTTAATTCGTGGTGTAGCATCTGGTGGTTTCTCCTTGATTACACTATTGTATTCAGCTTTAGATAATTGATTGTGGACCAGAACTGCTTCAGCTTGAGTTAATTCTCCAATTCCACTCATGGCTCCTTGTTTGTGTTTCTTGTAGATGGATTGAGGCTGCTGCAAATCCGGCGGCTTTTCTTTGATTGCCAATATGTTTAGTGCACCTTCAGCTTTCCTCACGTTGTCATGTATATGGAGTGGAACCTTGAATGTTCTTTTTCTTGATGTTACTTCTCCTAAGTAGTTAGCTCCTGTTCCCTTTTTAGCACTCATGGGACAGAACAAATGCATTATACTTGAAATAGAGAATCCAAAAAGACAATCCTTCAAGGTTGGTTTGCAAAGCTCATTGAACAGATTTGATTCTTGCAACTTATAAAAAGTTTTAACCAATGCATTTTCGGTTTTTATTCTAAACAGCTCAAATGCTTTGCTACACAAAGAAATTCTCAAAGAAGAGTTAAATTCACGAAACTCATCAAACAGAAAACATCTTGACTTAAAGAGCCTTTCAAGTGTGAGTGTATCAAAAGTTGGAATCATTTTGTCAAAAACAGAATTTGAAACACGAAATTCTTTCACATTTTCCAAACCAAATTGTTTTTCATCTTGAGCAGAAATCAAAACAAACACATTAAGCTTTTTTGTAATCAAATCAATTTCCTTACAGTGCTTTTGATGATGCTCATTTGACTCAAGGATTGGTTCAGGAACAAAGATAGTTTTCTGCTCCAAATTAGTAACAATCGATGGCAAACTCCTTTGAACTTCTTCCTGAGATTCTTCTTCAATAACCTGTGAAAAACAAAAAGTACTACTCGGTTGCACCGGCTTGGAAAGGATTAGTTTGTCACAAGGTTGATCATTTTCAAGCACAAAATCAGGTTTCTCAGAAAGATCACACGTATCTTTCACAAATTTAGAAGGAAGATCAAGCTTAGCTTTTTCTGAATTAGAAGTAAGAACACACTTAGCTTTCTTAGGTTTGTTGTAAGCATTGAGAATCTTCAAGAGTTCATCCTCGAACTGTTCTTTTGCTAAGGCTAGACTTTCCTTTTGGTTTGGCTCCATGGCCTTAACTTCTTTCACTTCATCATGTTGTGGTCTAGCTTTCTCAACACGTCTTTGATCACCACGATTGTAGTAGTAACTATTTGCTTGATCTTGGGTTGATCTGCTTCTCCAATTAGGTTTCTCCTGGGGTCTCCTTGGTTTTGCCTCTTTTTGATATGTGATCTGCTCATGCTGCTCTTGGCTTCTCCTTGGAGATCTTAAATTCTGATGAAACTCTTGGCGAAAAGCTTCCAATTCGGTGTTCATCATTTTCTTCATAGCTTCAATCAAAAGTTTGTTGTTCCGATTGTAGCTACTCTCTTCCTCATTGGTTTCAGCCATCCTTTCTGCAATAGAAACAACAAAACAACACCAGTAACTAGTCCTTTTGAAACAAACACGAAATGACTCTTCAAATACCACAAAATTCTCCTAGAACCCTAATCACGACAGTTTCACTTGTTCGGAGACTAAAAATTATCAAATCGCGCAGAAAAATTCCAGAAACAATTTTAACAAACACTAGACTCGATTTCGAACCCGTGACAGTTGATTTCGCGATTTTAGCACATACCAATTAGTTATGAAAACTAAAACAAGATGACAAACGGAGTAAGAAGATGAACAGACAAGATAGAATACTCAACTTTCAGAGTGTGCTCTGACACCACTTGACACGATCCTCCCGAGGAAACGGCACTCTAAAGTTGAGCAAGAGATAAAGGTGGCTGCGAAGCCGTGAGGATGGATAGATGATCTCGAGTTAGAGACGACACATGACTCAAAGACGAGAGAATGGATCGATGGGTATCACAAAAGTTTGGGGAAGAACTTCACGATACCGAAAATTAGATCCTTTGGATATACACACCAAAAGAGACTAAGGGTTTTGCTGGATATACGCACCAACAAGATGATCTTCTTAGAAAAGGTTTTTGATAAAAAGAAAGATAAGTTCTCATAAGAGATTACAAGAGAATATATAGAGGAGAAGGAGAGAAGAGAATGTAGAAAGACAAGTCTTGGAACAAGCTCCAAGGCTGCCTAGAAACTTAACAAAATATTAAAGATAGAATTTGAATAGAAAAGACCCTTTGGCTTCAAAGATGACCCTTGAACTCCTATTTTCGTCACTCCTCTTGACCAGCAAATTAAGCACTTGGTTTGGGCTCTTCTTGGGCTTGTAATGGCCATAAAATGGGCTGGACTCCATATATATTCCATGGGGCTAACTTATGAATATTATTCCATGGGCTGGATCAACAAATGGGTGATTTGAATGTGAATCATTTGCCTCATTAAAAACCTTGTCAAGAAAACCCATTGGGACAAAACTTGACAAGGGAAAAAGAGTACAAATGAGACACATGCCCATTTGATGATCATTTATCAAAACCAGTGAGGTTAAGATAACATCTTTTCCATACTCTTTCTCCGGTACAAGCTCACTTTGTGGTTCAAAATGCTCCTCAGGTTCAAGCGGCTCCTCTGCTTCAAGCTCCTCCTCGGCTACAAGCTCTTTATCACGTTCCATGTCCTTTGTGCTTTCCATGATCATATCATTTACATATGATATAAGGTAGATGATATAAACATATGATATATGATTCAGTCAAAGAAGCTTACGCTCGTGCTAAATCGGCGAAATCTCTGACGAATCCACAAGCTTTGTTTATTGAGGAAAGATCATGTGTTTGGAACTATGTCGATCTAAGATTCTATCGGATTTGTATTTCGTGATCTGTAGTCCTGTCCTTGTTTTTGTTTATATGGTTTCTGGAGTTGATTAAATCTTGTTGGTGAATTAAAGTTTGGATGATGAAGACGAAGTTTGCATCTGCGAGGAACTTGACGATTTGGTATTTGGAGAACTTGAGGTAAGCAACCAAAACTTCTTATCTCCATGCATTACCATTAATCTTATAAGTTAGGATCTATGTGACATTTATGCAGGCTGGAGAAGGCACTAGAATGGACATCTGCTCGAGATTCTGCTGTGATTTCTATAGGAAGTACACATTCAACGGCTGCACATGAAAATCAGAAGGTAAAATCTCAATTTCATAGGTTTTAGGAAGGATACATTTAATTTTAGGATGACCTTCCTAAATAATGCAATATACAGATATGATCCGAACTAGTCGTCTTTTTTTCTCAATTTGAACTGTTTATTCATATGCCTATCTATTTTTGGGTTTGTAGAACCTCATCCTTTAGTTGGAACTTCTCCTATCTCTGCTGCACATGAAAACCAAAAGGTAAAAACTCAATTTCATAGGTTTTAGGAAGGATACATTTAGGTTTAGGATGACCTTCCTATATACTGCAATATACAGATATAATCAGTTTCTAGTCGTCTTTTTTAAATCTTAACTCTTTTTCATATGCCTATCTATTTTTGTATTTGTAGGAACCTTATCTTTCAGTTGGAACTTCTTTTATCTCTGCTGCACATGAAAACCAGAAGGTAAAAACTCAAATTCATAGGTTTTAGGAAGGATACATTTAGTTTTAGGATGACCTTCCTAAATACTGCAATATACAGATATGATCCGTTTCTAGTCGTTTTTTTTTCAATTTTAACTCTTTGTTCATATGCCTATCTATTTTTGTGTTTGTAGGAACCTCATCCATCAGTCGGAACTTCTTCCATCTCTGTGCCATATAGTAATACATGTTCAACGACTGAAAAGGGAATAGGCAATAAGTCATTGGATCTGCTTCCTGCTCCACATCGTAGTCCGATTCCTATAGGAGGTGTACATTCAACACAAGGTGCTGATGATATATATATTAATAAATATTTCATGAACAAGGCTGAGTTAATGCAGAAGATGAGGACATGAGAGTTGGAGTATAAGTTTGAGTTTAGGTATCGATGGTCTAACAAAGAGAGAGTGGTTTTGGTATCTGTAGATGATAAATGTACTTGGAGGATGCGTGAAATGAGGGTAGACTCTTCTGATTTCTTTGTGGTGAAAAGTATTGTCATGAGCACACATGTGACACTACACACAGAAATGAAAATCATAGGCAAGCTACTGCGAAGTTATAAAATCTCTTTTTATGTCATGATGTGTTTCGTGTTTCATAGAAATATATACGTTCGTTTGTATAAGATCTTATAATTAGAAGCTTGGCTCACTGGTTACATGTTCTATTACAAAAACAATAGGTCCCGGTTTTGAATCTTGGTGGAAGTAACTATTACAGCTTTTTTTTAGGGAAGACCTTCCTGAATATGTATATATCCTTCCTGAATATTTGGAAACCCTTCCTGAATTTCAAAAATTGTTTACTTTTGCATAATTTGCCTCAAATCTTTCACAAATTGCACAGTTAAGATGCAAAGGATATGCTGAGAGCATACAACTAAGTGGATAATCTGTACGAAACATATGGTATCTGACAAAATACCATACATTGAATATCTAAACAAAACATAAATAGAAACAGATGATACTTTTCTAGTTCAGAACCATCATAGAAGTACAAAAACAGTCTAAAACAGTTTCACAAGCATCATACATCCAATAAAGAAACATAGTCCTAAGAAATCTTAACAGACTCATTGAAGATATCCACAGCCAACTTGTTTCTGATGTCTTCTGAATCTATATCATGCAGTTTGGAGAAATCTTCAATTCTCTGATTCTCTGAAACTCTGTAGGAGAGAGGATCTGTTGTACTTTCTCGATATACTCATATCTTGCACATTGATTTATCCCAACATTTGAATTTGGCTCCTGTCCTATATTGTACAGAAACTTTGGCAGTGTGACATCTGTTGGAAACGAATCTCCCATTTTCCTGCAATTAAAATTAAAGGAAATCAGTAAACAGATATATTCAGGAAGACCTTCCCGAATTACTATAAGTCCTTCCCGAATCAGGAAGACTTTCCCGAATCAGGAAGACCATTCTAGAATGCAAACTAAAACAACTCTATCAAGCAAAGAGAACAGACAATAACACTACAGAAACAAGTAAAGAAAGTTTATTCATATCTTCATATCACAAACTTGAATCTATAACTATGTGACGATATATCTCTCAAATTGTGACAAAAACTAAACTCATCTAAAGTGATAAACTAATCTGATGCAAACTAAGATTCACAAAAGCCTAAATCTCATTCATGAGCTAAATCTCAACCATCAAGAACGAAACATATTAAGCTATCAAATGTTAGATTCAGCTCAATCAACAAGAACTAGAAACTAAAAACAGAACGCTACACCCATAAACACCCACCACCGCCTCCTCGGAAGAAGCAGAAGGTGAATACAGGAAAGACGGTGGAGTTTTTCATTGAAACTGTGAAAATTTTTAAAAGTACTCACTATAAAAATCAACACTTTCCACTAATTCACACTCTCCACTATAAAAGTCATTGCTTTGAACTAAAACCCCACCCACCATTATTGTTTTCATTACCTTGTCCACAAGAACACTAAAAAAAAACTCACGAAACTGCTACTACAACAATACTGTATTTTTTTTAGATTCTGAATACGTTCCCAAGAACTAGAAGATAATCATAGTAATCAAATCTAACAAATGAAAAATCCAATGACATATACTATAGTCAATACACAAGAAGAAACCACGGGAAGAAGAAGACTAAGAACATGAAAACTGAGATTGATTACAAAAAAAAATCTTTATCGATTTCAACTTATCACAGAGAGATGATTAAAGACTAGAAACTCTCCTGTATGAAGTTCAAAGACAAAAGGATTCAAGTTTTTGTAAAAGACCCACAAAAACCAAATCGTTGGAGACGATTCAAAACACCAAAAAAAAGAGAAATTGAAATACAAGAAGAGATAATAAGAACTTACAGGAAACCCTAGAACACGATGAAGCAGAGAGAAATGAGGAGAATCAGTGAGTATTGGGTTGGCGAAACAGAAAAGAACCGAGAGTTGGCGAAACAAAGAGGAAACCGTGAAGAATTGGCGAAACAGAGAGGGACCGTGAAGGATTCCGGCAGAGGCGGTATAGATTCCGGCGGAGGCGACGAGATTCCGGCAGAGGCGACGAGATCGTTGGTCAAAGATGAGAATTTTTGGTGCGACCGACGGAGGCGTTTAGGGTTAGTCTCTCAAATTTTCTATTTTCTGTTTTAATCAATGTTTAATTAATACTTTTGAGTGCTATTTCTGGAATTTATGGAATATGGGGCTATTTTTAGAAGAAAAAACTTTTTTGGGGTCATTTGTGTAAATTGCCCTAAGATATATGATAAGCTTCTTTAGTTATATTTTGTTATTGTGGAAGTGATATTATTGTAAGATATAATAGCTAATTTTATACTTATTTAATATCTATTCAAAATTTTCATATTTGTTTAAAATATTTATTTTTTTCGTTTTCTATTAATATTTAATTTTATTTTTTGTAAATGTAAATGTGACACTTACGAACTCATAAAAATTATTATAATTTTAAAATACATTTATTTAGAAAAACAAACGAAAATCATTTTTATTTCTAATGAAAAACTCTTCAATCTACCATTACTATATATAGATTTCTAAATAACATCTCAGATATTATTAGGGAGACTCACAAAAATGCCCCTTTTTCAATACCCCTTTTCAAAAATACCCCCTTTGGCTGTCCATTTTTAAAAATACCCCTTTTTATGTACAAAATGATTAAATTACCCTTCTTTTAATAAAAGATATCACAAATATATAAGGAAATATAACAAAATTAGGTCCACAAAATACAAAATATTTTTTGGCGGGAAAAGTGATCCCGCAATTTTCCCGCCAAAACACTTGTAAAAACCTTTAAAATACCTTGTAAAATTTTCCCGTAAAATTTTTTCCCGCCAAAAAATTTTCCCGCCAAAAATTTTTTTTGCGGGAAAAGTGATTCCGCAATTTTTGGCGTTAAATTTTTGGAGGGAAATTTTTTGGCGGAAAAAATTTACAAGATATTTTAAAGGTTTTTTACAGGGTATTTATAAGGTTTTACAATGTATTTTTAAAGGTTTTACAACGTATTTATAAGGTTTTACAATGTATTTTATAAGGTTTTACAAGTTTTTTATAAGGTTTTACAAGTTATAAATACTTTATAAAACCTTATAAGTACCTTGTAAAACCTTTTAAAATACATTGTAAAACTTTACAAAACACTTGTAAATATACCGTAAAACCTTTAAAATACCTTGTAAATTTTTCCCGCCAAAAATTTTCCCGCCAAAAAAATTGCGGAATCACTTTTCCCGCAAAAAAAATTTTTTGGCGGGAAAATTTTTTGGCGGGAAAAATTTTTACGGGAAAATTTTACAAGGTATTTTATAGGTTTTTACAAGTGTTTTGGCGGGAAAATTGCGGGATCACTTTTCCCGCCAAAAAATATTTTGTATTTTGTGGACCTAATTTTGTTTCAAATAAGGGTAAAATGGTCATTAAAAATTAAAAGAGAGCAAACTTAAAAATGGACTCTCAAAGGGGGCATTTTTGAAAAGGGGTATTGAAAAAGGGGCATTTTTAACAATTTCTCATATTATTATTACATAGTTTTATTATTCGATAAGATTATTTTATTTTTATTTGTGATGTTTAGGATAGTTTTTGTTTTATTTCAAATCACCCTTAGTTTGTTTCAATCTATGTGAATTTCCTAAGAACACTGATTAATAATTAGTTTTTCTTCTTTAGGTATTCACTTTTTTTATTTAGAAAACATTTATAAGATCGGAAATTTATTAATTTGACTACTTATATTATATTATAATTATAAATAATAATATGTTCTAAATTCTTCTTATTTTTTAATCGGTACTCAAATTTTAAATGTCTATTTTTCAGAAATGAATTGATTTCTATTTTAAAAAAAATTTAAATTTGGTATTTTTAACTCTTATTTCCTTTTCTCTACTAAATAATGGCAACTCAACTCTTAAAAAATAAATTTTGTACCATTAAAATATATGATAAGTTTCTTTTTCGTATCTCTAACTATTTTAAAATATTTACTCATTATATGTTAAAATATAATGATCTAATTTATATATATATTCAATCTCTATTCAAAAATTTCATATTTTAAGTTGTATATTTATCTTTTTCGTTTTTCATAATATTTCATTTAATTTTTGTCAATTATTGTTTTTATTTAATGTGTGAATTAGTTTAGTTTTAATGTTTTTGTTTTAATAAATAAAATATGTGGAGCTCACAAAAAAATAAATTATGATGACATGGATGCTGATGTGGACACCTTAGATGGAGAGAAACTCTCCCATTATATATATAGATTACGTAAATATGTGAAATTCACTTCACTATGCATACATAATAATTTACTTTTTTATGTTGATAGACGATCAAATTCGATCTTTGTAAATCACAATTCATTACTTCAATTATAAGAGAAGTAATAGCTCATCTCTCTCTCATCTCTTTATTATTCACTATTCTGATCTTTCTACGGGTATAAATTCTATCTCTATTTTCTTTATTTTTTATATACACCAAAAAATAAAGTAATTCTTTAAACACGTTATCAGCACGATCGCTCTATGTTCGTTGAAAAAAAATACGGTATTATAACGGAGGGTATGTCGCCTCGTTAAAAGCAAAAAAAAAACAAAATATGAGAAAAAGAAAAAAAAATAAAAGAAAAGAAAAAGATATAAATGAATATATGTGGAAGTCGAAATTAACACAATCGAGATTTGTCTAGGGTTTTAATTTAGGGATACGATTTGCGAGAATTCTCAAAGAACGACAGAATCAGTTGATACCAAAGATGGTGTTCTTGATATTATTCAGAAAAAGATGACTTTGATCGTACAAGAGTTTGATCGTAAAAGAAAAAGATGTGTGTGCTATGAGAGCTTTGCGTAGTGTAAATTCTAGAGTGATCTCCCCCCTCTTGTGAGAGCCTTGAGTCTCTATATATAGGGATGGTAAACCGCCTCTCCAGCGATATTCTAGGAAGATTTCCATTTATCTTGAAGTCGGCTTAGAATATCGCGGATTTAGGACAATTTCCTTATTCTTCGGAGTTTCTTGGAAGATTTCCTGATTTGAGTTGATCCTTCAAGATTCTTCTTTATCATTTCCGGGTTTATCGGAAATGATCCTTCTTTTTCGGAAATGGTGCCTTGCTTAGAAATGGTATTGAAGGAGAATATCTACCAAGTCTTTGCCTCGGACAGCCGATGGTTTTTCCTCGGGTATCCGAACCATTTGACGGCTCGGATGCCTTGGTGCTTGGACTGGCTCGGACGACTGAGTTACGAACGAGCTCGGGAGTATGAATGGCGAACCGGCTCGGGTACCCGTCTGGATGGGGCTCGGGTACTCGAACTTATTAGCTAAGTCATACCCAAACCGATTAGCTCACTTCCCGAGCCGTGAGATGGACCTTTCCCGAGCCGATAGGGAATTGCTTACGAGCCGAATAGAGGAAAGTTTCCGAGCTGATTGAGGGAACGTTCCGAGCTGGTTACATATTCATCGAAGTTTGGCTCGGTCTTAATAGGGGATAGAATCCGACCCCAACAGTTAGCCCCCCAGCTTGTTGACTTGAGAAGCAAGTGCGACGAGCTTCATGTCATTGGGCCGAGCCATTTTTCCTCTTTCCGAGCTGTCCTCGCTCTCCCGAGGCGATTTGTACTTCAACAGTAGCTCATACTTTGACCGTTCAATTTTATTTGTCGATTCGAATTCCCTGGGACGCTTCGAATTCTTTTGTCGATTCGTCTTCTGGCGTGAGAGGGTCAAATTTCTTTTCTCGAGAAGCGGAAGCGTTTTCGCCGATTCCCGAGATTTTAGGCGGACGTGAAGTGTTCCGTTGTACGTACGCGTACCCGACGCGCTCTAAGTTTCTATAAATACTGAGTTCCCAGCTCATTCTCTTATTTCGCGATTTGCAAGGAAAAATTCTAAGGTTTACTTCTTTTCTCTGATCTTGATTTAGTTTATGTTTCTTCTTTTTCCGATTTACTTTTTCGTCGAACCGCCGTGTTTAGATCTAGGTTGATTTTGCCGGTGTCCTGAATTCTGTTTCTCCGGTTGTTCTTTCGATTTACCCGAGCAGATTGATGTCCCTTTCTGATTTGAGCAATTCTTCCCGAGGCATAAATATTCCTGTCCATAAACGAAAAATGGTTTGGAGTAGCTCGGATGGGCCCGAGGCCAGTTTGTCAGATCGATCTGAGTCAAGTGGTGACGCGGAATCGTCATCTGGAAGTCAAGGGGTTCCGAGCCAATTTGTGGCTCGGGAAGATACAATTGCTGACATGGCTCGGGACGAGGATCTACCCGATGATCCCAAAGCGGTTTTGAATAGGAGGAGGACGCGTCCTCCGGCTTTAGATGAGGCTGGGGTTTCTCATTGGCAGGATAAACCCGAGCTGCCGGTTTTGCCCGAGGTGAAGGGTGAGATGGTTACTTACGATCCCGAGGAGGGAGCCAGGCTACTTCAGCTGGCGATTCAAGGTGCCATGGCTCAGAAGAAGAAAACCCGAGCCAGAAAAGTTCGAAAACCTGATCCTCCCGGTTCTACTCTGTCGACCTCAGACTCTCTTCGGGATTTAAAGGCACGTGTTAACTTCAGCGAGACGGTAGTTTTGCGATTGCCGACCCCCAATGAGAGAGCCGATGATCCTCCCGAGGGGTTTTTTACTTTGTACGAAGGATTCTTTTATTTCTGCTTCCTCTGGTTCCCAATCCCGAGGCCGATCATTGAGTACTTATGGTCTTACAAGCTTGCTCTGGCCCAGATCACGACCCGAGGCCTTCGACATCTGGTTGGGATCTTAGTATGTGGGTTTGAGACGTACAATAACATTGGTCTTGATCATCTGAGGAATTTGCTGGAGATTCGTCGTGTGCCGAGCTGTGAGATGGAGAGGTATTATATTTCTCCTCGCCCGAAGCGAAGAGTTATTGGCGGCTTCCCCAGCAAAGATGAGAAGTACACCGACCACTTTTTCTTCGTTGCTTTCGACGAAGACTGCGTTCCCGAGGGCTGTCTTGGAAAAATGATTGGGAAATGGAGGAAGATTGGTAGTTCATCCGAGATTTTCTGTTTGTTTTGTGT